GTTACTCAGAAAGGAACAGAATGCCCCCAAAGAGACTGAACTTGTAGTGTTCCAATGTTCACCTATGGACTGTTGGAAAAAAAAAAAAAAAAAATAAATCTGTATTGCATATTGGGGAAGAATGTTTTGTTATAAGGGTAATATGAAGTGTTTATCTAAAAGGGGAGGAAGTGTAGTGTATGGACTAACTTTTGTGCGGAGTTGTCTCTTCTGTGTTCCCTGTGGTTCAAGCCTGAAAGGTGTTCGTCAGTTTTATGTGCATTGATATGCCTGTTCACAGTTGGCTGTGAGGCTCTCCGAAGCTGACAGTAAAGTCACTAACTCCCAGCCCGTGTCTGTTCTAATTAATCCATTCCGGTGTTCAAAAACACCACAATTATTATTATTATTATTATTATTATTATCAACTAGTTTTCTCTCCCTCTTGGGAGATTATAGCGTCCTGTGCCACACGCCAGTCCGCCAGTGGCGGTAATGCTCCGTTATAGCTGGTTGCAAACCGCCATAAAAATCGAAGAAGAAGAAGACCTTGGAGGGGGGGCGTTTCCCCAGCATTGAGTAAAACTTGATCAAAGCGTTTTAATGAGTCATTATCAATTTTGGCTGAGATATGTATCTCGTTATAACGTGAAACAGACAAATTTTATGGCAAATTTCATACTGGCAGCTATACGAACCGAAACCGTACACTTTATACTACCGTTTCCAGCACTGTCAAAACGAAATTATAAAAGTGAAAGTATTTTGTTACATAAAGCACGTACTGTTCTGATATTTCAGTTGGAGTCCAAGACCTATTAATGCAGGTTAGTCAACAGTGATTCATTTTATGTTAAACTGTAAATGTATTCTGATATAGTTTGTTAATATCAGCGTATTAAACTTTAATTGACCTTTAAGATAGAAAATAAGGGTTATAATATCCTGTGGAAATGGTGACAAACAAAACGGCATTACAGAAATAGGCCTACGTTATATGAGTTACACCTTAAAATTTCCGAAGTCGGTTTATACTTATACAATATATCAGCTAGAGAAGGCTAGCTATACGCATTATGTATATAAAGCTTTCTATAAAACAGAAAAGCACGATATGTCTCTATTGCTGCACTGATGTTTCACACGTCCAGGATTCCGGATGCAGTTCAACTCTTGGTTCTTTGTGAGCAGTTTTCAAGTTTAAAAATAAAGGCAAAGAATATGTCAGTCTTACATCCAGTCAGTTCGCATTCATGTCCAAAGTAAATAATAGTAGAACGATAGTGGGTGTATTGCTTTTTATTATCGAGTGTCGAGATTTTATATATTTATTATTTGCGGCAGAGTACTGTGTGTATATTACAAGTCAGGTAGTCCCGGTTCAAAATGAGGGGTTATAAAATGGTGAGACTACTTAAGTTTATAAATTCATCTGTTTTCAGTTTTATTATTAAGCTGAAATTTATGTACTGTATGTTTGCTCTTATAGAGTTTACAGCCTATCGAAAAACGTGCCAGGCCTTAATCAGTTTTTTACTGTAAAAATGAGACTCGAAAAATAAGTTAAATATTCCTTGATGACCTGTTCGGTTATTTTAATTATTTGTTTTTTTCGGTTTACAAAAATGTTATTAATGATAAAGGAAATAGTTGTTGGTTGTCAAGCTTATTGCAAAGCCATAGACATGCAAAGCAATGCTCAAAGAATGCAGCACCTCAGATTTCCAATGTTTTTCAGTCACATTTTT